CCCCAAAACCCCAAAACCCCAAAACCCCAAAACCCCAAAACCCCAAAACCCCATTGCGCAACTCAGGCATTGAATTTTCATTACAATAGTCCAATTTCAAGGTCTCCGAGTCCAGCTGACTTTAAGATATCTCTGACCTGGTCATTCTTCATTCCACAGTTCTTAACTCTAACTTTCTTGAGGTTGGTCTTGGCTTCTGTCTTGCCAAGGCCTGCCATGATGTTTACGAAGGGAGAGCTATCTCTTTCCCATACTCCATGTTCTTCATCCCCACAATTTTCGAAGCCAAGGATGGATATCTGGGAGTCCTGCATCACATCTCCGAAATCAAGGGTGGATTCTACATTTAGAATGCACTTCCCGAAGAAGAGCTGGGATACTCCTTTGTAAGCAGAGATCAAAGCTGTCACGTAAGGCTCGGAAATGTTTAGGTTCCAGAGATAGGCTCTTTCGAGGACAGAAGAAGCGCCAGGGAGTAAGGCAGAGGAGTAAAAGTCTGTAGTACCCATTGGGGATTGCTGGTTGAAATGGAACTCTTTTACCCTTTCAGGGAAGTATTTGGAGATGGCGGTTTTGGACTCTTCATGGTCTTCGGGAATCTTAGCGATCTGTAGTGTTTTGAGCTCAGGCATCCTTTTATCTAGGGAGAGTAACATATCCATATCTTTAGGCTTGTTCAGCTCAAGCTTGAACTGAACGGTTGGTCCAAAAGTCTTGGTAGCCCCTGTCTTAGCTTTATATAAGCCCTTGAAGTCAAATGGGGTGTATGCTTCTGAGCATAAGCTGTTGGGCGATTTTGAACTCAGGCCTTCTCTATTTCCATCTTCTATAATCCCTTGTTTGAAGTAGCTCCAGAAGAAGTTGTCTCTGAACTTAGCAAAAGTAGAATCTTCTAGTACCTGTTCCTTAATCACCTGGATTTGCGTATCCAATTCTTCAAGTTCATCTAAATTACCTTCCTTCTCAATATCATCAGTTTTCTCTTTAATCTGGGACAGTTGTTTTATCCATTTAGTAGCATCATTCTCCTCTCCTCCAAGATTCATACAGACATTATAAGAAGCTAGGGCCTTCAAGATCATCTGGGTTTTCATTCTGATTATTTCTAAAGAGCATCCTTTCGCCTCCTCGCCTACTTCAGTGCTTGCTGAATCTGTTGGTCCAACTCTTTTTAATCCAAACGGCTCGTCTCAGTAGAATTTTACAGAAGCTCCTCCATGCTTGGCAGCAAAGGAAGAGTTGCTCTCAGTTTGGGGAATTTGGGTATTTTCCATTTTATTATTGTCTATAAAACATCAGAATTTAATGTTAGCCTATTTCAACCTTATAGAATACTGATGGGGTTTTGGGGTTTTGGGGTTTTGGGGTTTTGGGGTTTTGGGG